CCCCGTCCCGCCCCGCCCCCGGGGCTGCCCCGGCTCCTTCTCCAGGGGCCGCCCCAGTCCCCTTCCCAGGGGTCCCCCTCTCCCCTGCCCCTGCACTGGAGCCGACACCACGAGGTCTTCACCGCTAGTGACACCCGGCTCCCAAGTTCTGCAAAGCTAGTTCGCCACATCCAAGTGCTATTTAATTCCCCTTAATTCTTTAGAAAAGGAAACCATTCTTGCCTGAACCCCTCGCCAGGGTCCCGGGGCACCCCCTCTCCGTGCCCCTTCCCACTTCCTCCTATTTCTATAGACAAGAAATGTTTGCATTCTCTTTTCGAAAATTTACACACTTGAAAAATGAATGACACACACAATAGAGGGCACTCCGTAACATCACCGCCCACTCCGAAGTCTTTTGATCCTGACAACCGTAGAGTTGCTGCTTTTATTGACAGCCACTCTTATTTAAGCTTATTCTCACTCGAAATAGAATAATTCAACAAGAGGCCATTGTTTCTCCAGTGTTTCATCCTGGCCTGTTTCAGGGTACTTTTCCCCAGGGGAGGCGGGGAGCAGGCGGGTTTTAAAATGCCACCAGCCTTGGAACCCACGGGCCTGTGGCCAGTCAGCTGGTGGTGTCTCCCCTCTGTGGTTGGCAGCTCTGAAGTTTGTGCTCCTGGACCTTTCCCCTTAAATGCATCCTAAGCCCTTTGGGGCCTCTGTCCCACATGGATCCCAAACTCATCTGCCTGCCTTGTCCCTCCGCCCCAGCAAATAGTGGTGGGGGGTGGGGGGCTCCCAGCTGCTCCCCCGTCTTGGGAGCCACCTATGTAAGGAAGGCCAGGGACCCCCCACGCACAGGAGGAAAATGGCCCCAGTTCTGCTCCATCGCACAGGCTGCAGATGCGCTCACTCACCCCAGCGCCAGAAGGCCCCCTCACAGCGTCCTGGAGTCACCTCTTGCAAGTCTGAGATTTCATGTCTCTCGATGGGAACAGAGCCACCTGGGCCATAGCACTCAGGACACAGCTCCTCCCTCAACATTGATTAGGCTCTGCTCTGTGCCCCAAAGAACGTGGGGACACCAAGCATGTTAACGCTAGGAAATACCAGTTACCACAGCAGACCTCATTAGCTGGTGCTGCTATCAGAATCTGACCCTCAAGGCAGCCAACTTCACAAATGCGGGCATCGCTAGTGGCCTAATCTTGCTTATAACTGTGACAGGCAGGTCAAGAACGCTGACAGGACCAGGTACGAGTCGTGAACTTGGGGAGCCATCGTTCATTAGAAGGGGGTTCAGATACCATCAAGGATGCCAGAGGGAGTATGAGCAACGGGTAAGCGCTTTCCAACTTGAACGTGGGTCCTGTATACTTTCCTCTCCAGCTGAGGTGCCGGGCACAGGCCTCTGCACCCCCCGCAGGACGAGGTGGCCCAGCCTCTGAGCAGGCCGGGGAGGTCACGGGGGACGAACGCCACTTCCCATCCCTTCTCTGCAAATAGTCTGCAACCCACACCAGGGGCCAATGCAAGGGGATGGCTGTGGGTTCCGCGTCCCAGGAAGGCACCAGGGGGAGCCTAGCCCTTGGCAAAGACCCCAATTCAGGGTGGGGGACTGTTTTTACCAAGGGGGACAATTAAGATGGGACCACGTGGTCACGCCCTCTAATACAGGGCCCTCTGAACTTGGGGAAGCTCCCTGGTCCTGGGGGAGCCACGGGGCTACACCCAGACGGGGAAAAAGAATTGTTTTTTGTAGCTCATATCAATCAGCTTTTTTAAAAAAAGTATTTTTAGTTTTATACAAGGTGCTTTTGTGCTCAATTTTTGTTAAACCTAATGGTTTGTTAACGTGCCTTAGGACCCACAGCTTACAGGCAATGGGCTTCAACCAACACTATTAATCGTAACCATCATCTGGGGTTTGGTTTTCTTTTCTTCATTCATTGTTTTCTTTCTTTTTTTTTTTCTTTCTTTCTTTCTTTCTCTCTCTTTCTCTCTCTCTCTCTCTCTCAAGTCATAACGCCCAGACACGAGAACTCGGGGGCAGATGGGGGGATGCCTGAAGCAGAGAAAACCTAACCGAACAACTTGTAGGGTCACCCACTTCCTGGTTGGCCCAGGACTGTACCCATTTCAGCCCATTTTAGCGCCCCCCCCCCATAATCCCAGAAACCCCTCAGACCCAGGCAAAGCAGGACAGACAGTTGCCAACCTCTCCTTCTAATCAGACCAAGCAGCGAACTGGCCCAGACCCAGTGGCCAGCAAGTCCCAGATGGCTCCGCCTCTGCGCCCGGAGCTGGCTTTCTGCTTTCAAGGGCATCGTCTTACCACCCTCCCCCACCCTGGAGTCTTCAGGCTTTAGGGGCCCCCGGAATGCTGAGGGACCCTGTGGCTAGATCCCCCTATAGGAGCAGGAGGTGGGCACCCCCATCATAGGAGGCCGGTGGCCCTGTGGGAGGGGCACCCCGTGTGCGGGCCTCGCCACGGCCATCTGACCCGGGAGGCACAGAGGCAGGCGCCGCACTCCGGTGTCATGGAGCCCCGGCCCGGCTGCGTGGTGGTGACCGGTAAGCCTGTTTGTCTGCTTTCCCGCTGCCTGTAGCCTGGCCCTGATTCTGGTCATAACCGGTTCCCGGTGGAGAAGACAGCAGCCAACAGTGGTGCCAGTCACTCCAGAAGGAAGCTAACTCCCAGCTCTGCCTGTTCAGAGCCGGCAGCGGACAGAGAGGCGTTTCCACTCCGTCCTGCCATTCGCTACGAACAGCTCCTGAATGGCAGGCATGGAAGCGTCCACCTGTGGCTGAGGCCCAGCCCTTGACCTTCAGCCCATCAGGGAGGAAGCCAGTGGGCCCAGGTGGCCTCTGCCGGGGTGCAGTTCCATAGCCAGGAAGGAGGAGCTGGGGGTCCCAGAAAGGACAGGGCCTCAAAAAGCTGGGGCAGTCCATCTGCAGTCCCCACCCCCACCCGCAGACCAGAGAGCTTTGGACCCCTCAGAAAACCACGAGGCACCCTGAGAGCCACCGTTGGAGACTCTGAACCCAAAAGGCCACCTGGGAAGGAATGGTGGCTGCCCACTCCTGCCCAAACCCACCCCAGCACACCCCAAATCCCCCCCAGCCCCCCAAGCCACTGTCACAGCTGGGCTTCTGGAGGGTTTGTTTTGTGGGTTTGTTTTGTTTTTTGTTAATCCTCACCCAAAGGTATCATCCCATTGATTTTTATTTTTATTTTGGTGGTGGTGTTGTTAATCCTCACCCAAGGATATTTTTCCATTGGTTTTTAGAGCGAGTAAAAGGTAGGGAGGGCAAGAGAGAGAGAGAAATATTGATGAGAGAGGCAACACTGATTGGCTGCCTCCTGCATGTGCCCCAATCAAGGCTGGGGATCGAGCCTGCAACCCAGGTACGTGCCCCTGACCAGAATCGAACCCGGGACCCTGCAGTCCGCAGGCTGCCGCTCTATCTACTGAGCCAGACTGGTTAGGGCGAGGGTTTGATTTCTCTACAAAGCTCTTTCTTTTTACTTAGACATCACTGGCACATTTTCAGTTTTGGGGATTGTGTTGGACGAAGGCAACAGAGGCAAGACAAGGATTCCTCTGTGTGTGGCAAATCACAAGTTACCTATCTTAACATTTTCAGCCTATAATCAAACTCCTCTTAACCTTCTGAGGAAAAGAACGCTCTTCTGAAAACCGTTCATCAACGCTGCTCTCACTGGTATTCTGGGTGTGGCAACTGAGTGGTTCCAATTACCCCGGAATTCCTAAGGAAACGATACCTCTGGTAAACGGACGCTTGTCACCCATGAACTATGAATCCTGAAGCACCAGGGCCGGTCTTAGGCTCACGCGACCCATTTGCTGGCCAACCTGAGACTGTTGCTGAAGCACCTGTCCATCGGCTGTGGCTTCCAGAGGGCGGCCGCCTTTATTAAAAATGTTGCTTTGCCAGGGGCAGTCTTTCCCTTTAATTGGATTTGCTTCGTGTGTGAATCTGGCCGAGACAACCGGCATGGAAACAGACGATGGGAAAACAAGGGCTCAAGATCAAGGTGTCCTTGCCCAGCTGGTGTGGCTCAGTGGCTGAGCATCGACCTATGAGCCAGGAGGTCACAGTTCGATTCCCGGTCAGGGCACGTGCCCGGGTTGTGGACTCCATCCCCAGTGGGGGGCGTGCAGGAGGCAGCCGATCCATGATTCTCTCTCATCACAGAGGTTTCTCTCTCTCTTCCTCTCCCTTTCTCTCTGAAATCAATAAAAATATATATTAAGAGAGCAATGCCTCACATTCTGTG